GAGAGAGAGAGAGAGAGAGAGAGAGAGAGAGAGAGAGAAAGATAAAGAGAGAGAAAGAGGAACTTTGACAGGACCGCGATATAATTTAACGGATTACAGTCGCGAATAACATGATTATAAGTCTCTGGATATACCGTAATAACCTGACGATAGGATTTGAGGCTTCACGGTGGGTTTCACGGGCTTACGACGACAGCTCGTAAAACGCGCGTACGTACATCTTTTCGTCCATGTGTATGTGCATGTGTTAACGTGTGTGCACGCGCGCGCGTACATGCCCCCGAGTCCCGCTATCAATTTTCGAACCACCCTTAATTTCGCGGAATCGGGACGGAGATCGGCCCCGACCGATTGAATTCGGAATTCAAACGGCGCGTCTGTGTCAAATTGCGGTTCGGGCCGGCGTTGCGGGGGCTTAAAAATAATATCCTCGTGAACGACGGTCGACGCGCGGGGGTCGGTTACCACGGCATGCGGCTGAAACTGACCCTTAACGACTTCTCGACCCTCCTACCCTACGGCGCGAGCGAGAGCTTATGACACGGGAGGGACGGGTTTTGAATTTCAATGTTTTTAATCCGGAATATCAGATTTTCGGCCATTTTTCACGCCCCACGTAGCGCGGCTCCGTAGACGTCCGACGCGACTTCTTCCGGGGCGACTACGTGGGATTTTATTAATTCGGCGTCGCCCCATCTCGACGAGGATGAGAGAGGAGGCCGTCGAGAGCAGGAAAGGACAGAGAGCGGAGGATGCACGCGCCATGTGCTTAAGGGCGACCCTCACACTTCGCGAGTGAAAGCACCGCGAAACATTACGCGGCGAGCATATTCTCCCGCATCGTAGCGCCGGACGTTAGGGCTTGAGGGGAAGAGGGTGGCTTGAATTTATGTCTTGACAGATACCGTGCGGGATTTCTTGAGACATCGATTAATCATCCCTCGCGGAATTATATATACTTTTTTTTTAATTTTAATTGTGCAATACGCACGTTGTGCAACTACGTGCGTTTTGATCCTTCCGTATCGCTTCAAATAATCGATCGATTTTGAGGAAAAATTTAGGTACGATCTTCCGACACCCGTATAACTTAACATCGCGAGAACATGTCGATGATAATGATAACGCTGACAATGTCTAGAATAATCAAATACAATATTTTACGGACGTTTGTGTACACCACGCGAAAATCTTTTGTTAGTAATAAAAAATAAAAGAAAAATTATGCCAATAGTACACGGTATTCCCAAGCGGTCACCCATCTAAGTACTAACCGTGCCCAACGTTGCTTGACTTCAGTGATCAGACGAGAACTGGTACTTTCAACGGGGTATAACCGTTGACACTTGCCAACACAAAACATTACTTTCACAGTGATCAAGAGGGATTTTTTATTTATTATTTCCTTTTATCTTTCTCAAGTATAGTTTTTTCAAAAGGATTTATTCATTTGAATTAATTTCCCTGCTACATAGCTTTTACATATTATGTGTATATCAATTAAAGATTATAATCTCATAATTATAATCTTAATTTAATAATAATAATGTCATAATTTTTTTAATGTGAAAATTCTCGGTCGCTCTCCTTTAGGATTTCGTGTCTAAGAGAAAATTGATTTAATGTTATCCCAAGTTAGAAATTTTTAATTTGGTTGTAATTTTCTCTTCTATTAACAGACACGCACTATCGTTCCCCTAGTGTTAAAGAAACTTCCTAACCACGAACGAGCCCCCGGAGCACCGCGGATTCCTTTCTCCTTCAATTCGGCAACCGGACTCGCTCGGCGAGTTCGTGGACGCGAGCGTGCCGCAGCCGGATGAATAAATACGCTCGCACCGTTGTTCGGGAAGAAACTTCTTAGACGAGATAAATATGAGCGCGCTGTAGCGGGCAGGGGTGCTTCCTCTTGTAAGAGATTAAAAAGTTCAGAGTCTCCTCCACCCGCGTCGTACCTTACTGTCTCGCGGTACTACGGCGACGGGAAGGAAAGTCAGCCGGAGACAAAAGGCTGCAGCAAAATAAAGTGGTCCTAATTAAATGGCCGTTCGTGATAGGGAGAGATCTTTGTTAGGAACGCAGCTTCGGGATCGTCTTAAAGCCGAACAATCGGCCGGATTGCGGCGTATTTTTAGCGATAGACTACCTTGAAAACATTACTTTCGCAGTGATCGAGAGAGATTTTTTTATTTACTGATTTCTTTCTACCGATTTTACTTTCTTTTTTTTTATTACTACTTCCTTTTATCTTCCTTAAGTATAGTTTGTTTTGTTAAAAGGATTTATTCATTTGAATTAATTCCCTGCTACATAGCTTTGATATATGATATGTATATCGATTAAAGATTATAATCTCATAATTATAATCTTAATTTAATAATAATAATGTTATAATTTAATACTTTTATAAATATCAATTAAAGATTATAATTTTTATAAGCTATAATATATTACAATGGCTCGGACTACTTTAAACTACCAAAACTTTATTAAAAATCAGCATTTTTGGACATATTTTTTCAGAAATATAGAAAAACCTCAACTATATACTGAGTAAAAAATGCTTGAAAATTTATTTGTGTGAAAGTTTATTCGTAAAAGTAAGTTTTATTTTACAGAAATAAACTTTATATCACATAAATAAATTTTCCAGTATTTGTTCTTAGTGTAAAATAGTCGGCGTAATAAAATAAAAATTTGCAAACAGTTTTGTATGCTATATTTGGAACTTCTTCAGATTCTTTATGAATGTTGGTGAATGATTGAATGTTCATTCAGGTTTCGCAGACCCAATCAGAATGTTAATAACACATTTATTCTTCTATAATAATATATAAATGCAATAACAATAATAACTTTATCGCGTGCAGCCAACGAAAATGCATAAAGAGATAGAAACTAGCTTTGTATAAGTATACAATTATATTAAATAATACAGCGTGGCTACTCAAAGTAAATATTTTCAACGGCTTTACGAGTTACTTCCTCGTTTCCTCGTGCAATTTTCACGTTACAATGTCGACGTGAGAGTACTCAGGGCAATTCGTGGAAACGCAAGACTTCGAGAGATCGTCCGATGACTAGCAGGATGTGAAGACAATGAATCTTAAATAAAATTAGGAACAACCCGACGCCGTCAGCGGGTAAATGATAGTTTATGCCGCGACAATACACAATGGAACACATTTCGTTGTATGTAACAAGGTGCTAAGTAGAATAACGAGCCCGACAGTGGGCGAGGGACTTTTCTTTCGCCGTTCGTGCTGACCTTTCACCAGGATTACGCTTGCAGCGTTCGTGCGTCGTACCGTGCGGGGAACGAGCGACGATCTCGTCGCGATCTCATCCCATTGACGCGCGCGAATTTTTCGATTGTCGGAAAGAGCGAGGAGAAAGTCGGCGAACAAGACGCGAAGGAATAAGCGAGGGATCCACGACGATTTCCACGATATGACATTCTGAAGTGGCCGTGCGAATTTAGACGCGCGCGAAACGAAATTCGTCGTGTCGTCCCGATATATCGTCGGGATTTTCCAAAATTTCTGCTTTCCCTCGAATATCGATCTTTCACGGCGCGTTC